TTATTGTATATAAACATGATAACACTTTTTTATTAAACGTATATTCTTAACACAATAAGGGTTTTATCTGTAACATCCCTTTTTCAACCACCCTACTTATCCGATTGGTATGATTGTGGTGTAATTTTAAAGGTTTTGAACGAATGCAGGGACGGATGGTAAATAAAAAGCGTATTTCACTTAGAGCTTTCAAAGATCCAGTGCTGTTGACCAACTTTCTTTATAACAGTTTTAAGTATGAATTATAATTTTACAGTCGATGACATCAGTTGGTTTTGCAAACGAATTCATAATGTAAACACGAGACAAAACAGTTTATGTGGTTAAATCTAATACTTGTATTGATAACTGTAATAAGATTGAGGTTGGTAAATTACTCTCTGTTTTACGTCCAAACATTATAATTATTTTTATTTTTTAATACTTTTGTTTGTCTTTTAGATTTTTTCGACCACGAAATAGTCTCCGAAACTCCATTGGATTGTTCGTTATGCCTCCTCGTATGCGACTTTTGAACATAGCATAAAATGCGCAGTTCGTGCACGGGCACCCTCGTCAAGGACTTTGAAATGTTACATTGTTCACCTTTTTATAAGAATAACAATAATGGTTAACAATAATGTAATAACAATAATGTCTCCATTTACTTCGTTCATTGTAATATGAAACATTTATTTCGATATTTTTAAGTCCGATTTTGGGTAAAAGATGAATTGTACTTAATAGCAATTATTTTACTACCTACAATCAGGAAAAAGGAGAACAAAGAATAATCATCAATTGAGTAGTCTGTAGTTATAAATATCACACAGGATGGGTGAATTTTATATACTACAAACTAACTATATTTATAATACAACCTTTAAGGTAACGGCTCTTTAAGTTTAATTCCACTCAACCCATATTTATATTATTTAACTTACCTTCCGAAAGGTTTGAATTACAAATGTTATGATAGTATTAAATTTGAAAGGGATGAAAGATAAAAAAAGTATGGAGACCAACCATGAACTATTTTTAATATATAACTTTTAACGGGAATTACATTTGACCCGTATTTTACATGAATATAAACTTACCCCCCCCCCCATCTGTCTCTCTCACTCTCACACCACTGATGTTACATGTTTACTTTCTCCGTCTGCTCATCTCTATCCGACTATCCACTTCACTTTCAATCCAATCCACACAACATTCTCTCCGCGCTTTTCACTATCGATAGAGTTACGTTTCACAGCTTTCTTTACTTAATTGTTGTAAATGCTCGGACAATTAGAGGATAGTTGAATAGAAACTCTTGAATCAGCAATCACTACCTCTGTGACAGTTCATTTGTTTGTTGTTGGTAAAGGAATTAAAACTATGTAAAAATAATTTAGTTACAATGCAATTTGAATAAACGATTTACTGTAATACAGACTATGTAATTCGATTCTTAAAGGAGAATAGTCTGTTTACTTGTCAAAGAATCAAACTAGAAACCAAAATTAGCGCTTGTTACGTTTTGTATTGCAAATAATATTATAAATGCTTTGTACCCTCCTCTGTTTGATCTTCAATGTTTGTAATTCTATGTTTTTTCGTAACTTTACTCCTTGACCCCCAAAACATAAGTTTAATGTAAAAATTTGTAATAATTTACTATTTTAAGCCAAAAGGCGAGTTTCCCTATACAGCAGGTAAGTAGGTGGTTAGGTAAGATTTAGACCTTAGGCAGTTTTGACTGATTTGCGAACCAGCAAGGCCGAGTCATGGAAACGGGGTATTATGGGGTTTATAAATGTTAAGCGATATGTTTTTTTTTTTTTTAATTTCTATCCATAAAACCATCCTGTATATAAACAAATAATTTTGCATATTGAAGGGTTTTTGTACAATTTAAGGTTACGGAGAAGCAAAATTTATAAAATGTCATAAACTGTATACAACGGGGTATTTTATAAAATGCGATGAAAATGTTTACGGCAGGACGAGTTCCTAGACCAATTAATTATTAAGACATAAATTCAAGACACAATTGTAAAGGTGGACGTTTTAGGTCTACGGATGTAACAGTACCAGTCTATCAAAATATTTATTTACGACGGTTTTGTTGTTGGTAATCCTTAGATCCTGATAAGAACTTCAGTCATGTTCAAGTTGTAATCTATTATTAATGTTAAGGAAATAACCTTCGTTCCCAAAAGAAAATTATAACGACTTCTACACTTTTTAACATAGTTTGTCGATTTGTACACACTTTTAATGTACTATAGCCTTCGCTTTGCACTTAAAAGGTATAATTTACGTCCGTAGACCACCGGGAGGTGGGTAGGCCTATCATCACTAAATTCTCGACATTTTGAGAGCCGAATCAAATCTAAATTTTACACTATTTGCATATTACGAATACAATAATGCAAATAGATAGTGAGTATGTACGTACATAGTGCATACATAGTGTGCACATGGTGTATTGATGCATCTCTCATCGACCTATAATTGAGTATAATTTTCTATTAATACTTCAACCACGCCCCATATGACAGTTGTTATTACTGTAGTCGATATAGAGAATAGTTTCGTTAATATTTTCTTGTTTTACTCTTAGCAAAAATAGAGTACCTTTTAGACTGTAATATTTGGAGTGATGTCTCTCCACGGTGTTCGACAATGTTTGTGAAACTTGGTATGTGCAAGTAAATACTAAGTTAAGCCATAAAAAGTGTTTGCTATTTATTTTTATTTTTAGAGTACCTAACTTAACCAATTTTATCCTCAATATAGCCGAATATCTGTTAGGTTAGTTGGTTGGTTTTCCTCCTTTAAATTATTTAGAAGATTGGTAGGTATACTACTTTCATAGCTTATCAACATTTTTATCTGAATGATTTGTTACAAACAAAATTTTAAAAAAATCCCAAAACATGCTGCTGATGTATTGATTGGTTGATCTATTTATATTGTTTTGTTGGCAATTCTGATTCAATAATCTGACTGAATGCGTGTAGATTTTGCCGTTTTCCTCCATTTAGCATTTTTACTTGCTCTGGGGTAAAATACACGAAGTTTTTTAAATTACAAATTGCCGTTTTGATGTTTTATGTGCTCATTATGTATAGCATACTAACTAAAATAATATTGATGCAATACACAACAAATCTAGTAAACCCCATTTCCCCCCGTCCTTGGCAATTACAATATAGTCCACCGCTTCATAGATTATTTCAATATTGTATGGTACGTATAGAATTGCATCGTCTACTTAATGCGTACGCATCCGTAATAGATCCAATCGCCACATATGTCTTTTGTTCAGTAGGATACTAATATGCTTAGTTGATACAGTCAGCAAGCATTACTTGGACTCCACTCCAACCCTTATATCAAAGATTATAATACTTCAGGGAGGCAGTCTACAAGTGTATACAGATTACAGGAGAGGAGAGTGGGGCTCGAAAGCGAGGTTGGCTTCGGTTTCCTGATGAAACGAAAGGGAGAGCAGAGATGGAAAGTGTTCAATAGTTCTCTCCCGGAGAAAACGAAAGTAGTTCCTCCCTTCTAGAACTGAGGCTAGTCGCCGAGGAAGGCGCTATACCAGATACTGTAGTGGTTCATTAAACAACACAATAATTACCTAAGTCTTTCTACTAAATAAAAAATATTCTGTCCATTCTTAGAAAATTTCTAATTGAGGATATCAAATGATTTTTGCACACATACGACCTACGAATTGGTAAACCAGTAAAAAAAAAACGAAAATTAATTGCTTTCAATTAACAAGAATACGATGTAAATGCACAACAATAGCTGAAAACACTTGATATTTACAAGGTGCTAATTATTCAATTTCCTTATTGTTTAGGAATTCATGCTTATTTTCAAATTACGGTTGATAGTAAATTATTCATGAATAGTTTTAACAATACCTAGTATACATAATTATATTCCTTGAATAATTTGTGTTAATCTATAAACACTTCAAAAAATTTCATTAAGTATAGCTTCTAATATTTTTTATGCAAGGACGTGGCTAACGAAAGATTTATTGAGGATAATTTGTTTACTTTTTACGGATTAATGACGGTTTAATTAATGTGGTTTAGGACCCGAATCGCTAGAGATATCAAATCTCGTTCTAATGTAGCATTGCCATATTAATTTACAGTAATACATTAGTTTACACAATGATTTCGTAAGATAGTCTTTAAGATAAGAGTAGAAAATTTTAAGATTTGAGTGTCTTAATAATGGCTAATTACGCAAGTTGCATACACATACTACGACTATTTTTAAAAACTAACAATTACTACTCATAACGTCTAGGTTATGTTTTCGTTTATGACCTCTCATTGCCACTGATTGTGATGCAACGACTCATTGTCCCAACCACTCACTCATTGTAAAATCCATTCAATTGGCCTTAATAATTGATAAGTTGATGTTCGAAGTACAGTATTACAATTTACTTCTTTCCTCTCATCTTTGAACCTCATTCCTGTTAAAAAACATTACTGTGATGTGAATTTTCAACTCTAACAGAGCTCAAAAGGCTAGTTTAAAAACGGTCGTTTGTAAAATATTTTACAACGCGGTGTTTGAACGCACATCACGTTGACCTATATTTTAACTGTTACGCGCCGTCTACACACATTGATCTATCCCACAAGTAGTACAGACAATAAACAATGTGGTGAGATAACCCAATTCGCGATCTCATAACATTCCTGTTATCAGTAGCGGATTCCGTAATTTCGGCACCGCTACTTGTTATCACGTTACGCAACTCTCGGCGTTGTTATTGTGTGCAAGGCGATCACTAGGTCTCACTGAGTATTCAAAAATAGTGGTCGCATTACAGCGATGCGAGTGCGCCGTCGCGGGGGGAGAGTGAGGGGCCGCCCCCCGCCCCCCGCCACCTCCCCGCGGCAGAGTTCAGGAGCCGTTTTCAAGGACAAGGTTAACGCCATGCCCTTCGCGCTACAAGCCTTCGTCAGTCGCGCCGCATCCTCCTATACTGTAGCATCGCCCGCCCGTGCTGTGGATAACACATAGTAAACACCGCAATGTTCTGTCCACCTTCGCCCCGCAAAGCTTAACACCACCACGCGACTAATCGAAACTATCTCAGGTACAACCGTTCAGGAATTTTTCTACTTTTTTACAGTTTTTATCGGTGTTCGTCATGTGTGTTATCGAAAGTGAGAACTGTGTTTTTAATTGTGACATTTCTGTGAAGTGACTGAGTGAGTGACCGAGCGACTGTGTATTAGCCTAAGTGTGAATACGTCACTGCCTTATATCTCATGGATTACTTGTAAGTTAGTGCCGAAGTATACTATAACTACTACTGCTGGGATTTATTGACCTCGTTTTTTCTACAGTAGTGCCTAGTTTTATATCGGTGTTGTATCCACGCTCACTGCCGCGTATCTCAGGAATATTTGTGTAGTGAAGTAGACAGTAATATGTCCGGCGTTTCCACAACCTCCTCAGAGCTTCGTCAGGTGATCCTCGCACCCCCGTCCTCCGGTGACTTTAGGATGCCGTCCGCTCCGCCCCTGGTCACCTCCTCGACGTGTTCACCCCCCGGGCCGTCCGTGGTGATGCGGCCTCCGCCCCCGCCGCCTCCCAAGATCATCCACCGATCCTCGGACATCAAACATGAGAGGGTTCACCATGAAGAGCCTTCCAGCTCCATCCCTGATCTAGGTGAGTGGTACAATCGATAATCTCTATCTTACTGTGTGTAGGGAGTAGAAGCTATGTTCAACAACATACCATTCACAGCTCGTAGATTTAGATTGGTATTGTCCATATTCGGATAATTTTAAATACCTATATAAAATAAAAAGTGAAATATTTTATCTTTGAAGGCGGCATACTGAAGGCGAGTTCAGTTGTGTTTGAAGGCGGTAAGACAAACTACATACAGTAATACAACTTCATAATAGCATGCCATTTATGAATTAAGACGTTATCAGTTTAACCTTCAGATTGTACTGGCAGAAATGAATACATACTGATAATACAAATCGAGGTCTTTGTTTGGGATTTGACGACGTTAACACCGTACAATCATTGAGCCGATTGGGCGCAACATGATTACGGGTTAAAACTCTTGGAGACAACACCTAGCATTTAGAACTGTTGTTTATTAACTTATTTTAGCCACTGTTATAACGTTGAATTAGATTAGGTTGTAGTAGGTATGCAATATAAAAACATGGACGATTAATATATTACACGTCTAAATTTACGAAGATACGAGTTCCTATATAATTCGGAGCTAGACAAAGCTTAACTATTTCCTTTTCTCACCAAAATAAATTAAAACCTACAATATTGTTATTATTATCTAATGTATAACTCTCTAATTATTACTCTCTAAAGAGTATAGACCCTCAATTATTTATCCAAATTAAATTAGTAATACATTGAGCTCTGAAGGGACTACAATTATCAGACCCCGATATCAATACAGTACCTGGTCTAATACTTAACTATAGGGTCCGTTTTCTTGTCTCCAGTTCAACTTAATGTAGTTCATAAAAAATAATCACCATAGCAATACAATAGCCTAAATTGGTTTGATTATAACCGGTGTATATAGCTTCAGTTAGTTTTGTCGGATTAAAATGTTAAGTAATTGTTGAGACATTGACATTCCACAAAATCGATAGTCAATCTTTTGTGACAGGTATATGAATGTTTAAACACAAAATAATAACATTAATAATCAGTTATTCTCTCAAATCTGCTGATTATTCATTGTATACCACAGCCACAGATTAGTGAGTATACAATCTTCCTACTCTTGTATCTGTGCTACAGTTTCTATCCGTAGACCTACTATAAAATATATCACTACTAAAGAATATTTAGTAATGCAGTTATATATTCTTTGAAAAATAATACGCTGGGAAATATTACAACACCAAAACGTTTGCAACGCTTTAAATATTTAGTGATCAGTGCCTGTAACGTTTCAATATAACATGTTAAATTATCCCATTGCTTTATTCAGACTTCATCTAGCAGGTACTAGTCGTTAATCGTTTAGTAATACCACCATCTAAAAACCACCAAATAATTAATTCAAATACGGAGATAAAAGTATCTATGTACCGTATTTTGGTGGTAGATGTAGAATACCCCCGCCGCAGCAAACCTGCAGACTAAGCGAATTTCCATTTGCCTGATTGGATTTACACTGAAATGTCTCCTTAAAAATAGCACATTTATTCCCTATTTAAATAGCATTAGTTTAACGAGTACTTAGGTTTGCTGCAACAGAGAGGGTAAAAAGGTGTTTTTTGTAAAAAGTTTAGTATGAAATGAATGCATTTTCCAAATTTGATCAAAATATGTTCATAAACAAGCAAACTAACACAGTTTATATATTCTCCCTAAAAATAACATGGGAATTTTAAATTTACAGATTATTGGAATTTTCTCCGTAACCATTAGGCGCATAATAACGCTTCAATATACTAAATTATTTGTTTTTTTAAGCTCACAAAATGGTTTGGAAAGAAATTGCTAAATTTTAAGGTTTTAGGGTCAAAAATGGGAAAACCCAATTTTTACCCCATAAAACCCCCCATAGACCCCTGTCCCCATAGTCCGATCATGCTGGTTCGCAAACTCGTTCGAATAAACGTAGGTTTACACGTTTGTACCAAATTTTCTCAAAATCGGATGATTTTGGCTCGAGTTATCGCGCTAACGGACATATATATAAATATATATATGAATTTGAACGGATGGTGTTTTTGCTCTCTAGGGACCTCAAAACGAAAAAGTAAATCGGTCCCGGGTCCAGATCTTACTATGAGTACTACGGTAATAGCTTATTCCCTACATGGGAAATTCGCTAAAAAAAGAGCGAGCGAAAATATGTAATTGATTACGACAGTTAAGTTATAGTTTAATTAGATTTGTATAAGGCCTGTTCATTATTGACAACTAATTGTAGATTATAGTGAAGAAAAAATGTATGATGTTCACAACATACATAGTTTAGTGTATGATTAGGCCTATAATTCCACAGGCTAATTTCTTTGAGCACTGTATCAATATACAAATCACATATTATTGACAAACATTTCAAGTTTAATCAGTACAGTACACTTTCGCTGTTGGATCCGCTCTCATATAAATCTATTATGTAGACTATATATGTATAAATGTATGTTTAGCCATTGTTGTTGTTCTCAATGGTACGTTATGCATATTGTACTTCAATAATCGCTTCATTCTATCACGGCAATTACTTTATTATTTCAGGCAGTTTATTTACCTAACCTCGAACAATCCTTACATAGCAATTATTGATAATGCAATCACATTGCCGCAGTAAACCTGATTAACTCTGCCGAGTCGTGTCGTGTCACAGACAACACAGGTCTGACGCAGCTACTCATACTCATAGTATAAAGCGTAGTTGTTAATAATTATTAGCACCAATAAATTCCTTATCATAGTTAACTCTCGTTTTAATGGTTCAAATTTATTATTATGACCCAATTAAATAGTTGTAAGTTTATAAAAATAATTAGGTTGTTGTTGAAATACTGTTTAGCACTTATATTACGTGTAAAAGTTGATAATGGGACTTCCGGCGTCCATATTGTTCCGGTCTGATTGTTTAATGACAGTATGAGTAGGGGGAACGACGCGCCTGTCTGTCTGTCTGTGCTCGTGCGTGCGACTCTTGGGAAATTTCGCTGATCAACTGGGAAACCTCCCAATACAATCATTTCCACCTTATGCCCCTTGATTGGTGGCTATATGTACAATCATTTCCCCCTTATGCCCCTTGATTGGTGGCTATATGTACAATCATTTCCCCCTTATGCCCCTTGATTGGTGGCTATACGTACAATCATTTCCCCCTTATGCCCCTTGATTGGTGGCTATACGTACAATCATTTCCCCCTTATGCCCCTTGATTGGTGGCTATATGTACAATCATTTCCCCCTTATGCCCCTTGATTGGTGGCTATACGTACAATCATTTCCACCTTATGCCCCTTGATTGGTGGCTATACGTACAATCATTTCCACCTTATGCCCCTTGATTGGTGGCTATATGTACAATCATTTCTACCTTATGCCCCTTGATTGGTGGCTATATGTACAATCATTTCTGGAAAGAACTAACGAAGAAATTACATATTTTATACCAGATCACTAATAATAATTGTTATTATTTTGTTTTGTTAAAATAGTTGACCAGTGTAAATCTTACGCATACTTTCAAGCAAAAAATAGGCTACACTGAGTTTGAATCGGCAAATGCTACGTTACTATGAATATAATTGTAAAATATTTACTTTGCACGTAGCGTTTTTTCAAAAATCCAAAGAATAACCTATAACATCATAAAACCCTGTTACCTAAACACCTATAAAACTATAATATTCAACGATTGCCTCAGTATATCGCCCTAATCAGTTTTACCGGTTACAATTAACCATTACACTGATAAAAGCGTAATAAAACCCCTTGATAAAGAGTTGTAGCTCATGCATGCCACACTTATGACGTTATGTACAGGGGGGAGGGGAGGGGGCGGCCTTGTTACTTGACATTGGGCCGTGGCCTTGCCCGCCGCCAACCCAAAATTGGTTCAATACCGCCCCCCCCCCCCCCCACCAGAGCACACTGTGTTAGTGTTAACAGGCTACCAATTGGTGAGGTTACCTTGGCAGATCATCATTGTATCACAGCCACAGCGCTCATTGTCAATGTCAAAACCAATCTTTATACAGACGAAAAGTGTGCTAAACAATCAGTTGGAATTGTTTTTAATCATCTATATTAACAACCTATGTTAATTTGTCACGTTTTTTAATAACACTTCTTTATAAAAAAGTATTCTAGTTTGGTTATATCGATTATTTTTTATGACGAATCCTAAAATTTGACGTTCACCATACCAAACCTGTGGTCATCAACCATCAAGACCAATCATAAGGTATGAAGGTAAATGGAATGGTCAAAACAATTAAATACGATGCATTTCAACTTAACAGACGATAAAAAAATCATCTAAGCCAAAACAAACTAGTACTAGCGGTCTTGCGATGAAACATAAACTTTGTTATGCCCTCTCTCTCACAATACAACCAAATAATTAAATTACTGTTGTGTTGTTCCATTTTGAGACTAATTAGATTAATCAAAACATTCATCTGCAATATTTGTTTAAATGAACCAGTCTCTCGGATGCAACTATAGATGATCAAAAGTAATGGGGAAATTTAACATTGTCTGTCAATTTATAACCCTCAAATCCCGCACACTAGGCCTGAGTACCTTCGACTTTGAATAACAGTGTGGATTCGAATAAGTAGCTGCTGACCCAGAAAAAACAATTAAATAACAATGAACAAGACTTGGCTCTATAAAACAAAGGCTTGGGTTCTACAAAGCCTCTCCAAATACTCGGTGATTGCTCTTAGCCTTGTGAGAGTGTAGGGCAGTCGGGTACGGATGGAAATAGACCAGTGGACTATTGCCAAATAAAAGTGAGTGTACACACGACACACGACACACGACAGGTAGTTGGCGACAATCGTTCTCTCAGAACCTACAGCCTACTTACTGTCTTCGACTACGTCATACAGTTCTGGTGGGAATAGCAACAACGCTGAATGTATGATACTTACTAGAAACAATACTTAGTAAGGAAATATATCTTGAAA